CATAACATAAACATTGATAATTCTGTTTCATATTGTTTTTTGTACCAGCGATCAGGCTCATGACTTGGCACTTGCCAGGCCGGTGCTTATTCCCCTGAGCTAAATCTCTGGCCTTTAACAAAATTCTTAAATGAATCATATGAAACACTCATGATCATAAAGAGATACTACAGAGGAAGTTAGTAACCATGAAAACACCAAGATGAGTCAACTCTGATAGAACATTTACTCTGTGACAGACACTGTTCTTACTGTTTGTAAGATTAGCTTACAAAACTTTTACAGTGACCGTATGATGCAGATACTTTTATTTCTATTTACTTTTTTTTTTTTAAAGAAGACCTGAAGATCACAAAGGAGAGGGGAAAGAAATTACACTCACATTATCTGATGCCAGAAATCATATTCTTTCCACTAGTGCATGCAAACAAACAGACAAAAAAAAAAGTGTTTGAAAACATCTGCTATTTTCTTGCTCGTTGGAGCAGGACTGTTCATGCTCTCCTCTGTACTTGAAATTGAGGGAAGATTCTGGAAGTTCACTGCATGCCATGCCTCTCTCAATCACAGCGGAGTTTACTCTGTTGTACGCCACATTATCGATTTCAATGAGCACAGTGCATCAGCTGAGTGACTTTGTAAAGCCAATGTGAACTCAGTTTTAGTGAAAACGTATCTCCACTTGGATGCAAATATCTAGCAGATGACTAAATGTTTGCAATGTCACTTGCACAGTGCTGCTTTTGTGGCCCAAAAGAACCATTGACCATACTCAACTTCTTGCCACAGAAATGAATATCACAGAAAAATGACCTGTTCTCAGCAAAATTTAACATTACAACCATTCTGGTCTCAACTTATACTTTCTACATCACAAATATTATCAAAGTAATTTCAGGCAATTATAAGAAAAAGTTAGTAACACTGTGTTCCATGTTTTGTAAAACTTCTTGGCAAAACATTTATTGCTTAATACCTCTGGATTATATTTTTATCTTCCTAATTCTAATATGGACAGTTTCCCATCTTCACTGTGCAGGGAGTAAAAATGTATTTGTAATGTGTTAACCTCTGCAAAGAGCATTGTACGAGGTCAACACTCCTGAGGTCAGAATGAAAACAAGTAAAAAACTCACATTCCTCCTCTCAATTATTGAACCAAATTCAATGCTTCATTCTACAGGTTTCATAGGGATCACTAAAGAGATTGAGTTCAGAGATATTGTTATTAATTTTTAAAATTATATCAGTAACATTTTTGCACTGAGTGAACTGAGTGCTGGTATTTTTTGTTTGTTTGTTTGTTTGTTTTTGTACCAGGGATTGAACTCATGACCTCACACTTGCCAGGCAAGTGGTTGTGCCACTGAGCTAAGTCCTCAGGCCCCTGCTGGTATCTTTGAATTCTCTCATGATTTATACTAGTCTCACTGGATAGACTCTTCAGTGCTTAGTTAAATGATATAATCTCAAAGAACTTTATCTTCAACTGGTTGGTCAATGCATTGATTTTCCCTAAGAGAGTTATATTTCAAGGATTTTTACTTTTTAATTTTTACTGAGAATTTGTAAATGCTAGTTATTGAATATCATTTTATTTGATTAGTATTAATAATGAAAAACAAAGCAGAAATGGTGTATTCTTTTTCTGTGTATGTAAATAAAAACTACTATCACTTGAATCTTTTTTAATTAAAATAAAAGATAAAATTTTGGTGCTTATCGTACCTGAGGTCTTAAAGATATATAAGACACAAGAATGCCAAGAAGTGCATTTCTCATATTCCTCATTTCCTAGAAAGTCTCATTCTGCTACATCTTACATTTTATATTTGTCAGATGGAAATAAAAAACAGCATATGTAAAGCAGATCATTTACATTGTTTTTTATAAATGCCAGTGGCATAGAAGAGTACTTGATAAAGAGCAGACAATAAAAAAAAATAATAATCATTTCTAGTTTGGTAGCCAACTAGAGGGACGGAGGTGAGGAAGAGGCAGATGGAAAAAGACAGAGAGAGAGAGAGAGAGAGAGAGAGAGAGAGAGAGAGAGAGAGAGAGAGAGAGAGAGAAGATAGATGACACTGATTGAATGACAGATTCAGGGCACTGAAATTTGTAAAACTGTCTCTGAGCCCTAACTTTTCCAGTGCTGAATTACTGAATGAATGAACACTGGGAAAAAATTACAAATTGTTAGCTTCTGCTTTTTAGCTGCCCAATATCATTTACTTTATGTATCACTGTCTAATTGTTAAGAATAAAGTATTATGTCCATAAAAATACCTTTTAAACTTTAATGTACATTTAAGTATTATATCTAGGTACGTAAAATATGTATACAAGCACACATTCACGTAATAATATAAATTTAAAATGTCTAGGACATCCGAGTTATTATATTTTTGGAATACATAAAAAGTTGGCTGGGAAACTCAGAATTTCACACTGTCAAGGCAAGTACACAATTCATGATACATTCAGGTGTTTGAGCTGCGAAGCTAGAATACTACGGGGTATTAGTATTAACCAAGTAGTTAATGAAGGGGCTTATATTAAACAAAGTATAAGAGAAAATAAAGGCATACCACAAAATGAATGCTATTTTTAAATAAGTAAAAACATAATATGAGGAGAAAGTTTCAAAAGGAAATAACAAACCACCCTCAATGTCTGGGATATGCAGAGAACTTCAGAAGAGGTAACAGGAACCTTCAAGACTGTAATTGCTTTCACCTCTTTTTAAGACCGCCAGTATCTGTCACTTAGCCACATTTAACTTTTTATGTAACATAGAAAGAACTGGATGAAATAATGTGAATACAGACAAGGAAACTTTTAAAAAAATAGTAGAAATTAACTTAGGTAAAGATGTGCATGGGTAAGACAGGAAGCAAGGCGTGCACGGTGAATGGACTGTCATGGGTCTGTCACCTGTGTCACTGCGCTGAATCCTGCCTAGGCAGCTTATGCCAGAGGAAATTGCTATGATCTTGTTAATATCTTCTCTTTAAAAATAACGTAAAATAAAAATAAACACTTTCTGTCCATGAAGTCCATCAGCTACGCAAACCCATTTTTACAAACAGCTAAGAAAACAAACAAACAAACAAACAAACAAAAAGCTAAGTGACAAGAGATTTCACTCTGCAGTGATTCCAACCAGTGTGTCTGTGACCAAAGAGGCTCGTATCGGATAGACTCAAATACGGAGGCAAACACAGGGTGGGACAGTTCACCAGTAAGATTTTCTTTGTTGCTAACACACTGATGCAAATAGAGTTTTAGAGAATTAATTCTTAAGGCACAAATGCTCTTCCCTTTGTCAAGATTGATCACCTGTGAAAACGATGAAGTCTATAAGCCTAGGTTATTTAATCCCACTTTAAAGTATTTCAGGGGAAAAATGAAATTCGATTTAAAGGAGTGTTATACTTTTGAGTTCACACTGTCAAAACTTTTACATTCTTACTTTTAGATTTAGAAATTCACGGTATATAGTAACACAAATTTCTCTAGTAGGAAAAAAAAAAACTCTGGATGTGGATTTATAATATTTTGAGGTTTAGTTCATGTTATATTGTTTTGACTGACACAATTAGATTCCACTAATACACATTTTCCATTGTCTGTAAGCTCAGTTTTCTTCACACCTGAATTGACTGAAAGAGACACATCGAATACCAGTAACGTCAAGAGCTGCCAGACAAGACTGGGCAAGACCAAGATGCACAAATGTGAGAAAGCTGAGAACCACCTGCCGTCTCTAAGTACAAGTTGAACACCTCCAATCCTGATTTCTAACTATCAAGATTATTGGTTTGCAAAGGTAAAAATATTCAACGCTATAAAGAAGAGTGAAAAATAAATTTCAAAAAACAAGTATATCCTGGTGTATAAGTCATTAGTTAAAAGTATGTCATTATTCAAAAGTTTCATTACCCTAAAAGGACAAGAGATGTTGTTAAAAGATGTTAAATAAAATAGCATCTATTTACATTTTCTGTTCCATATAAAATCATAATCAACTTTAAAAACCTGCTGTTTTATCCCATAATAACACATCATAACTGAGTTGAAAGTAATTTTTATATTTCTTTTGGTAGCACGTGAATATTCACAGTCATTTAAAAGCTTTTAGTGTTTCTGATTCTTTAAGATTAAATCATCTGTTTCTACAGAAGTTCAACTGCTGTGAATATATATATATATATATATATATATATATATATATTTGTCCAGTATAAGAACTATCAGATGTAGATATTACTACTAAAATATGATTAACTCATATTTTTAATTATATAAATATTCTTTTATATACAAACGCAGTACTCTATTATGTATTCAAAGCAGCTAACACACACAAAAGATTTCAATGTTTCTTCACGCCAGGAAAAAATTCCCCACATTCTTATTTAAAATAAATTGCTATTATCATCTCCTTGGACTAAAAAGGAAATTGTGAATACAAAGTATACAAGTGCATATCCGAAGCTCAAGCCTTTGCTAACTTGGTAAATTTTGCTTTTCTTCTAGAGTCACAACTTTGGAAAACTACCCTAAAGAACTATCATCTAACAATTAGAAACTTCGACTCACGTTAAATTTATGACAACACTTCACAGTTGATCATTTCTACTTCTATTCATTACTATTAATAACAAATTATAAAGAAAGGAAGCAGAGTGGCACATACACACATATATTTTAAAACACGTTCAGTATCTGGGTCCTACAATCCCACTTACTTTCCTTTTTCTGAGAAAAAAGCTGAATTACTTGCCATTCATTTTCTACTGCAAATGAGTTTGTCCCTGCACATTAGCAAGCTTTTCCAATTCGTTTTGCTAAATCCACACTTCCTTTTAGTAATGCTAAACACTGCTCTGATTAAAAGCTTGCCAGATAGTAACCCGGCTCCACCTTTACACTACTCCCTCTGCTAAACACATTTACCTTTATTTCGAAAGAGAAGGTAAAAACGAAGAGGCTCTTACCAGACACAGAAAACAATTCGTTCAGCTAGATCCAACAGTGCTCCGTGCAGTCAGGCAGCATGAGTGATCCTTGGGCCTCACACAAAAGCGAGATAATTGGCTCTCAATGTAGAGATGTAAACATCCATCATAATGGCATTGGGGCTGAAACTGAACGCTACCTCAGCTGTTCTATGTACTCCGGCTGGAAGATGATGTCACAAACATCAACTGGGTGTACTCTCATTGGCTTCTGTTACCTGGAATCATATCTTAACCCTAAACTGTCAGCTGCAAATTGAAATGCTCATCTCTCACTACAATATCTGCTGAAAATGAGAATGAAAGTCATGCTGAGTTCCTGGAGGCTCACAAACTGAAAATACTGCCTCCTAACTACCCCCAGTCTTATTTGTCTAATTAATCAATTAGAATCTTTGAGGAATTTTAGTCTCCAGATGCCTTTATTAAATCATTGCACTTAAAGGTATTTCACAGCAGGAATGTTAAAAGAAATATCAGTGTAATTGCAGCATATGAAATTTAAACATTTTCTAATTGCTTTGATTTTACAGTATCATCCTATGAATTTCAGAGAGTTGAGTTCAGAGAAATTGCAGTGTGGGCAATGTATAGTGAAACTTTCAAACAATTGTCAGAAGAGCCATCTGTGTGGTTTTAAAAATCTTCTATAAAAATACAAAAATGGTAATGCATTTTACTTTCTGAATGCTAAGTAGCACCAAAACTTTGTGTAATAGTCTTAAATATGTGATATTAAAATTATAAATGAATTGATACTTTTTATTATTTTAAAGTAATTTATAAGTCACTGCATCTACAATCTCGTTTCAGTCATCCAAAGCTGTGTTATGGTGTGCTGCCAGTATCTTTGAGCACAAATAGGGAATAATTATCCATTTATTGCCTTCTACCTTGAAAAAGCCTGGGATTTCTCCCTAGGCTTGCGTGCATTTGGGAGAGGAAGACAGTGGGCCAAGCTGGTTGCAGGAGCCTGTTGCTGGAGGGGAGGGACAGAACCACAATCACCTTGAAAAACAGCCCAGCTTTCCCCACCCAGAGGGCCTATCAGCAGCATCACTGTGAGATGCAAGAATTAGAAGAGCTATTTAATGACCAAACTCCTTCCAAATTCTGAACAGCCCTGTCTCAGGGAAAGCCCCTTCAAAGCTGTGTGACTCAGCAGGCAGACAGCATAAGCACCCAAGAGGGATTCCCTTCATTCTTCTCTGTCTTTAGGGACCAGCAAGTCACCACCAACACATTTATCTGCTTTTCTGTGACCTCATTTCCTTCTGAATAATCAATTTGGTGTAAATGTTTATTATAACATCAGTAAGTTACATTTATTGATAGCTTCAATGAGAGTTCTAAAAGTTGGTAATAAATGATGAGGAACTTTCATAAATTATACATCCGCAACTTCCTCCCAAGTTCTGACTTTTGAAAATATCTGCATATTTGAGTCAACTTAATAGCAAGTTAGTCTGTGACATATGGGCGTGAGTTGAGTTGCAGAGTGTGGCGCAAAAAATTCAGCTTTCACTATGTATAAGATGTAATAACTCTGAAAACTTAACATGTTTTATGTACAAAACAAGAATGTTAATGCCACTTATTTTAAAAGCTGATTTAAGAATAGATTCGTCAATATATGGAAACTTGTAATACAGCACAAAAAAAGTTGCAAAAGGTAATATATGCCTAAGATTATTGCTGTTATTCAAAAGATCCAATATATTAATTTCAGAGACATGGGAAATATAAAATATAGTATAAAATATTAGTTTGATTTTTAACACTTCCAGTGAGGTCTTTTTTGAAGTTGCTACACCTCACAGAATTGTATGGGATGTAATCACATTAGTCAAGTGTAAAATTTTAGATTCAAGACAACTATTTGTCAAAATGTACTTTGAGGCTAACGTGAAAGACACTGTTCATTTATTTCTGTTTAAATACATAGAATTTTAAATGGAAATGTGTACACAAAAAGACCCACTGCCGTGCACAGTGACATAAAATTGAATTACAGATCACAAAGATGAATTTGGACAATGGGAATGTCAACTGTATTTCCTGTAGACAAATGATAAGGCTAAGACATTATAATTGCTAAGAGGATGTGCCATGAAGAAAAGAATTCATAAAATAAAATATGCTCCTCTATTTCATAGTTTATATAAAATTTTAATGCTATAAATATTTCATACCGGAGACAGATAACTAACAAACTTAGATTATACCCTGTTGAGTGCAGAAAACATGCTGATACATGTCCATTCAGTTAATTTTTGAGATAAATGTATATTCTGGTGATTTTAATGCACAGAAATGACAGTCTTTCAAACTTTGCATTGCATCATTTGGATGATACCATGTTATATATTCAGGGCTTAAATAATAGGGCACTAAGACGACTGGAAAATATAATAACCCTCGAACCCCAAATTTTGAATCAATTACTCACATTATACACAAAAATCATAATAAGAAAGTATCTTACTGTAAGTGCCTGATTCTGTATAATTAAAATATATAAATAAGATTTTTAAGAGGGCAGAGATTAGTCTAAATATACAGACTGAAGACATCAATCAAAGTAATAGTAACAGAGTTTAAGATTCCTTTTACTAAATGTGAAAACACTATCATATTCAGAATTTGAATTGTGTAAAATACTAACATTACTTCTTTAGAAAATGAATTGGGAAGAAGAAGAATGAATAAGAAATATTTCATGTAGATACATCAGTATAATTCTATAATAATGAATGAGTTTTAACCCATATATTAATAAGTCAGTTAATAACTCATTGCAGCTTATTTGGTCAGATTTTGTATTTTAGCTTTAAATAATTATATTTGGTTTTAAATAAATAATCACATGCAAAGAAATGTATAGTTTTATACATGTATATTATATATATATGTATAGTTTTAAATAATTGCATGTAGATAGTCTAGGATGTTTTGAATGTATAAAGGGTAAAAATCATGATATATTGAAGTAAACCATGCAATATTTTATATATAAGGACAAAAACAAAGTATGTTATGGATAATAATCATAAGAATTGGATGACGAGTGGAAGTTGTTAAATTTTCCTAATTCTTTGGTAATCTTTTTTTAGGAATATCAAAGACACTAAAGGTCAAGGTCTTGTAGTAATTTATTATCAGAGTTCATTATTTAAAAAGTCTAATGATATTTGAACACCAGGCTGTACAAGTGTCTGGGTTAAAACCCAAATAAAATAACATATATTTCATTTAAAACTGATAATGAAACACAAATATGTTACAATTATGATAAAATAATGTTCACAAATCCAACATGATTACATATGTAGAAATAAAATGCAAAAAGAAAAAATTAAATGTAAAAGGTTAAGGAGTTGCAAGATAAAAAATAAAAAATGATGTCATTTCTAGAATACTGTCTCTAATACATATGTTTATAAAGCTATCTGACATGTAATTTTTTCCAGAATTTTGAAAGAAACATAAATTTCATAAAAGGAAAATAAACATAATTTAGAATACATTAACCAATATCATGTCAGATATTCATTGCATAACTCCGGTTGAAATGATTAATTAATATTTGTGAGTTCCAAAGAATACAAAATATTTTACCTAAAAAAGCATTTTACCTAAAAGGCTTGAAATAAGGAGAAATACCTTATAGGAATTAATTCTGAGGGTTTTTTTTTACATACATGAAATGTTTTCTGATATGAAGAACATACAATCGATAAATGTATTTTTTACCAAATAGATATTTTGTCATTCAAATCAAGCACATCTTAATTTTGTTACCATGCTTGCATACTTTATATTTCCAAGGAGCTCAAATTATGGCAGTATTTAATTGCCTTACAATTATTTCTGTTACATCAATTTTGTGGTTAAACTAATTTTTGATATTATCAAAACAAATCAGCACTAGAGTCTAATTGAACCGGAGAAATCATCCTCCAATCTTTCCCAACCTACATATTAATAAAGTTTAGGTTAATACAACTTCAAAAAAATGAACATGTCCTTTAGGTGATAATGATATAGGCAGAATTTAGGAATCTAAAGGAGTTTTAAAGCGTTGTGAACATTATTATCTTCTCTGAGAGAATAGAGCATTTGCTCCTTTACAACATTAACTGGTCCATTACCTACTTATCCACAAGATGGCAGCTCTGTTTACTCAGCCACTAGCACTATTCATGCACTAGCTTAGCTTTATTTATTTATTTTTTTTTTAACAAAACATAATATAAAGTAAGTAAGTCACTCATGTGGGTGAATATTTGGGAGGTAGTTTTACAGTTTCACAGAGTAGGTGATGAAGGATACATCAGACCTAATAAATGACAGTTACTTAAACTTTTTAAAAATATATTACTATAAAACATCAAGCTTTTGCTAAAATAATGTTCAAATACTTCATACCAACATTTTTTTACAGAGGTCAATCTATTTATAAGAAATAGTTTTAATTTAGTTGCAAAAAAAGGGAAAACTTGCATTTTTTTTTTTTTTAAAGCATAAAGTTGTGTTCCAAGTAATAGTGGTAAATCACTGGTACACTAAGAGAGCGACAGGCGTCATATCTTCCCTGTAGTAAACTGTGGCTAAAACTCACCCCCATAAGAATATCTATTTACTGACTTCACTTGGATTCCTCTTCTGTACCCAGCAATCTTCACTGTCACTATTCCTCCTTATGTCTACCTGAAAGCATGATTGTTTACATTGTGTTTGCCAATTCAATTCTCAAGTGAAAGGACTCTAATGGAACTATTTGAAATAAGAATCTCTGAGAATGGGAAATTGTTTAAAATTATTTTACACCCCTCCTTAATTACGAGCCAATGATTTTGATTAGTGACATCAGATTTCATTAAACTAAATTCAAATATGCAAGAGTCCTGAAAAGAAAGCTGTAAAGGAGGTAGAATATAGTTGTTATGTTAAATAGCCTGGAGAAAGAATACAGGAAAATATAGAGTCTCTCATCAGGTAACAAGATGCCACCTGGCTGACAGGCATGCGGAAGAAGAGGAACACATTTATTTGGGAGAAATGAGTAATGGCTAAAAGGAGCCGAAAAGAATGGACAGAGGGGGAACTGCATGACTGAGGACAGCTCAGCTTTTCAGAGACTGCAAAGCAACATCAGGTGCTTGCTTGGGCACTACCTGGGGGCCAGGACACGTTTACAGTTCTTTAGTTCTCAGGGACCAAGGATTTCTCCTGCATATGAGCCAGAACAAATTATGCCTATTATCATCACTATGCAATTACTAAGCATCTAAATGCCCTAGGTGGACACACTCCCTTACTGTGACACATAAACACAGAGTTTCACAGGATGATACCCAAATGGTTAAGATGAAAAGGAACCAGCTCCTCTCAGTGGGTAAGAGTGCAGTGTGTGAACATTAGTTCTGTGATAGAAATAATAATCTAGTGTTTCTAGGAAATTCTATAATTCCATAGAATTCTATTCTTAAGCTTCATTTTATGTCTGAGCTCTCCATTAGCTTTATCTTTTAATTGTATTTTTCAAATATATACCAGCAGTGATATTTTGGGGATTAGTCATTGAGCATCATCTGTAATAAGCAGATCATGATGTATTTCTAAAGACACAAACAAGAGTAGTATCGTTTTTTAATCTTTATATTGTGTTTTATCTAAGTTTCTATAATTAAGTGAATGTAAAAATATTAAGTTCTTGATAATTACTATCAAAACACTTTATAGCATTATAAAGAATCTTTAGAATTGTTATAAGCACTTAATAAAGTTCTATGCTTTAGCATAATCCCATTTCTCCTTGCCCTTGAAAATACATTCTTCCCTTTAATTTTAATTTTTATTAGTACATTTACAGTCCATAATTATTGTTTTCATTGGGAAGTTGATATACATGTGATTATGAACATATAAAATCACATACACATGATTTTCTATTTTTATTGCCTTCCCTGCCTGCTTCCTCCCTTCCTTTACCATTTGCAAAGGATCTATCTTCCTGATTTCCATTATTTATCTTATATTTTGATCTATAAATTATTTATGTCGAGTATCTCATATAATAGAAATCATGTGATATTTGAACTTGGGTGTTTTCATTTGACATTACAGCCTTGAGGTCCATCCATTTTCCTACAAAATGACTTGGACTCACTCTTCTTTGGAACAGACCAGCACTGCATTATGCGTAGATGTGTTCTTTTCTTTATCTTTTTTACAGTCACATGTCTATAAGCAGGAGATATTTTCCAGTGATTCATTTAAAACTCACATTGTATCAGCCTTGATTTTCAAGCTCTTTTGTCTTCAGCCATATGGGACTGGAAGAACTTTTTTAATTTTTGTTGTGCTGTATTAAGTAACCCATATTGACTTTGTGTACCTTATTGGTGTTTTTGTTATTCACTGGTATTACATAAAGCTTCTCCTTTATTTTCCCTGGAACTTATTAATTATCTGCATGAGTCTAGTCTCCAAACTAAATGACTGGTGGTACTTTGGTTATTGTTTTATAAGGACAGTAGTTAAATATGGCTATCATTTCAGGATGGTTTAGAAAGACAACAAAGATTAATATACAATATTGAGGTTGACTGTTACCCAAGTGTTCACTGTTCAACTTAATCCCTGAGCTCATTAAAGTATCACTATAAGGACTATTGGATCTTTATATTTTGGAAAGACAAATAACGAGAGATCTGACTTAGCTTCTAGAACAGGAGTGGTATATTTATCTATAAAGTCTTCATGAATCTATATTTGAAACTACAGACCTGAGAAATATGCTTATACTTTCTACTTCACAACAGAATAAAATTATTATTACTGTACAAGATGAATCATGCTACCACGCAGGAGATAATGATTTTTTTTTTAACAGAGGCTACCTGCTCCTTGTGTATTTGTTTTGCACTGAGATTAACAGAGGATCAAATAGAATAGACACATGGCTTTAAATGTATCACACTGATTTTTGTTTGTTTTTAGCTATAGGTTTCACTGTAGTGCACAGTCTGACCTCCACTTACTGTACCTGGTACCTTAGGTACCTGGTCAGCAGGTTCTTATATGTACCAGTTACTGCTTGGATAAGCGTCCTCTAAATGTCCATGTGTTAAAGGCTTAGTTGCTGGTTGATGGGACTTCTGGCAGGAGGTGGAACCTTAGGAGGCAAGGTAGCCAGGAGAAAGTTATGTCACTGAGGGTTCTTGAGGGGGAAACTGAGTCTCTGTTCCTTCACATTTCTCTTTTACATGCTGCCTGTCATGCAGTGAGTGGTGCCCTCTCCTTGCATTCCTACCATGATCACTGCCTCATCACAAGTCCAAAAGCAATGGGCCACCTGACCATGGACTGAACCCTCCAAAACTGAGGACCAAAATAAACGTTCTTTATACATTGGTTATGTCAGGTGCTGTGTCACATTGATGGGAGGCCAAGTCTAGGTCTCAAAGAGAGCTTCCCTGCCAGGGTATGTCTTCCATTCCTCAGAGTTTTTGACCTGAGCTTCTCAGACACAGGG